CAGTGGAGAGAAAGGAGGAGAAAGGGGAGGTGTAAGGGAATGAGATGGATCACATTGCGTCATGTAACGTGTGGACATGGCATAATGAATCCCACTAGTATGTAAATTATGCTGCACAGAAAAGAAGATGCTGGGTAAGTGGATTTGACTAGGTGAGGTAGAGTTTATCACAGCTCTGATCCCTAGAGGATGACAGGCTTCTTGCCCAGTCATCTAACCACCCTGCTGCAGAGATCTTGCTGAAAGCAGCAACAACAATGAAACAACAAACATCCTGAAATGGGGGTGGGTATAAACCAGAACTAGTCCTTGGATTGCTACACCTAACGTTGCATCACATTACCATGGAATCCGTACAGGACAGAGATATCATGGTAAATGTATATTGTGGAAAGAAAGAAAAAGGAACAGTGTTCTTAGATTTGCATATGCATATATAGATCACACCCGTGCATAAATTATGTGCACATGCATATGGGAATATACTAAGATATCTATTTTATGCTCCCTAATCGAGGCATGTCCTTTGAGATTGCTGTATATAGTGACTTGACCTCAAATCCTAAATAAGTCCTATTGCTAAGGTGCACCTCACAGAAAGCATCTTGCTCCTTGTAGTCACCATGTGTGTAGAGCAATTTGAAAGTCACATTTCATAGAGTTTCTAAACCAAATGTGTCCTGCCTTGGGTTTTGGCTTCTTGACGTGTGTCAGGTCAACTCAGGGAAAACATCACAATTTTTCCCTGCAGCGGTGAACCTTGCCACAAAGCTCTCAGTGGACATTCCTGTAACAAAAGCAGAAGAATACGAGAAAGCATAGCAAGGTCACTCTAAATGTCTACCTGTCTTCTGTCCGTCTGAAGTCAGAGAGGAGGAGACCCATCCTACCTTCCCTACTCAGCTGGGCCTCCAGTCAGAGGTCTGGGATGCGGACCCTGGAGAAATCTTATTGTCATGGACTTTGTCAGCAGTCCCAGGATGTCACCCGCAGGTGCAGAGCAGAGGTGTGGGTGCCACCCCTGTTGGCGGCAGAATCACAGAGGAGAAGGCAACATCTTTTCCTCTCCCGTTGCATGGTTCATGGCTTAATAAGAGGAAAGCAGGACAAGTGGATCAACCACAGTTTTTCATGACCTGGAATCCTTCAGAAAGACCCAGATTCTCAGGGAAACTATGTTTCTGGTGTCATGAAGGAATATGAGGGGAGGGCCCAAGGGTGTGCTCCATGGTAACGAATGGACCACCGAGCAGGGCCGGCTCTTCCAGGTTCTTCTTGACCCCTTGTGTGCCGGTTCTGGCCTCCAGGTACAAGCAGACACCTGTCACAGGAGGGTCTTTGGGCAAGGGAGGGAGATCAGTCAGAGTCTCTGCTTCTGAACTGTTCTCAATTTCCTTCAGCCTGAAAGTGTCATATTTGGGAGTATCATGTTCTGATCCCTGACACAATGGATAAAGCTGAATGAATAAAGCTGAAGTCAACAGAATAGGAGATGCTTAAAAAACAAGAAATGTGAGTTAGAAAGTAAAACAGTGGGAAGGATGGGAGCCTGAATCCACAGATCTGGCTGGTGACAGGAGCCAGGTCTCAGGGATTTGCTCCTTCCGGCTGTGTGGTAACTTCTACGTGGCCAATACTGAGAGGATGGAATTTCCTCCTGATTTCAACACTTGAAGCATTTTCGTCTCACTGTTATGAAGTGTATTTAGAGGCTTGATATGTCGTTATTCATAGGTACTTATCAGGTGGACATTTCATTACCATTTTAACCTTGGAAGTATTGACTAATAGATCTTATCTTGGTTTTGGTACAGGAGATTGAATCCAGGGCTGCTTTACCACTGAGACACATGCTTTTTTTATTTTTGAATTTGAGACAGGGCCTTGCTGAGGCTGGCCTCAGACTTATGATCCTCCTGCCTCAGGCTCCTACATTTCTGGGATTGCGGCATGTGCTGCTGTGCCCAGTAGATCTTAGCTCGTGAAGGTTGAAAATAAACTACAATGTGTTTCAAACTGCAAATGTGGATCTTTTAAAAATTTTTTTTGAGGTACAATAGACATAGAATAATTCATATCATACTATCTTTATTTTCTGATTCCTCAAAAAGAAACATTATGGGTTGCCACTGATTTTTTTTTTAAAAGAATACTAGGAAGCTTTGCAATATTGGTGATCACAAAACCCATGGTATTATTGCTTATGCTTTTGGTTTAATTAAAAGTGTATTTTTGTTCTTATGATGTGTGTACACAGCATAAAGAATGATTAATAACAGCCAACAGTATGTTTTGAATCAGTACATATTAGTGCAAAAATGTGTATTGAAATCAACTAAAGCCAAGCTCACATCATGAATTTTTAAATTACCTTAAAGGCTTTCAAAGACAAACCCAAGGCCCACCCTAAATGGCTGTGGCGGTTTCCCCCAGTCCAGGTGCCCAGCCCAACATTTGTTCCTGATTACGCTGTGCTTCAGAAAACGCCGCATCAGAAATGCTCTGCCAGGAGAGCCTTGCAGCTCCACGGTAGGCCTCTGGCATGCGGGAGTTCTCCATAAAGTCACTCCTATTTAAACCAGAGACACAGACCTCTTTCTTGGGTCCCCTGCCCCTCCCCCCCAGCAGGCCTGGGACATTTTCCTGAGCATTCACGATGTTAATTGGAGTTACATGTGTGCATTCAGATCTGAACACACTTCCAGATGTGGCTTTTGTAAGCAAGTCTTTTCAGACTGAGCCCTTCATATTTCAAATGTTATTGCGCTGCACAAGATATCTTCAATTAAAAAAAATTCCAAAGGACACAGCCATTTGCATGATTAAACACAACATAACAATATAAAATTACATATATATATATATTTGGAATTGGGTCATCTGATTTTGATTCTTGCTTTTCTCTTATTTTCTACTTTAAAAGTTGCAAGGATCCTAGGGGTATGATCTTAAAGGATACATCTTTGCTGTTCACTTTTAAAGTCATCTAATTCTGCATGGCTTTGTAGAAAATTGATGCCAGTGCTGGGAAGCCTGGACTGTAAACAAGATATTCAAAATGATGCCAGCTGCCTAAACCCTGATTTTATTTGTACCTTTACCTTGCTCTCTAGCTGGAACGATGTGCATATAATGTAAAGGCCAATAACTGTTTTCGTGCATTTCCTAAGTTGTAACTGGAGGAGAAAACACAATCGAGACAGGAGGAGAGGGCTTAGTGTAAAAAGAATGTAGGCTCAATTAAACTCCCTTCCTGCGAGCTCCATGCAACAGCACAGATTATTTCTGTGGTCATGGGCCAAGTCTGCCTTTATTTGGAAGGAATTCTCTTATCTTTTAAGACAGCGGATCTTAAGTTTCTTTAGCAGAGTTAAATAAAAACTGAATCTCAGTAACAAAGGACAGGCTCCTCTTATAATACCATGCACTACTGCCTTGTGGGGTTCAGAAAATAGACTTGAATTTTGTCATGTTTGGTGGAAAATTATAATAAATAATCTCACAGAACAATTCATTTTATACTTAAAATCCAAAGCAGCCACAATATACAGCAGCATTGGTTTCACTCAATCAAAGAAAATTTTCCATAAGTCACGAGGTGCCCCTCTAATAACACGCCCCACTCCATCCCCCACCATTCGTGCAGGGCTCATTTATAACTCTGCACCCGGTTCTACTTCACTGGCAAAGGCAGGCACCAAAACAAGTAATTACCATAATTATTTTGGACTAAGATGAAATCCTTTCAAAGAGTACACATTTTCCTTTTGTATTGCATTTTTATAAGCCATATACATTTGAATCAAATTTCTACTATACATATTTATTAATACCAAGATACTTGTAAATACCATTTGAATCAGGATGGGTTGCTAATTTAATGTACTCTTCTCCCTCTTTGAATCTTTACTCTCTGGTTTTCTCCTTAATTTTCATTTATCTACTTTTGAAGATACAACAAACAACACCCACAATGTAATTTTGAGTGTTTTAAAGCAAAGCAGTAGATTTCATTTCTCAAAGAGTATTTTATTAAGGAAATATTCTTACAGCTCAGGAAAATCCAATCTGAAACAAACACATGTGATGGTCTATTTTGTTACGAGGAACTTGTTTTGATCAATCAGACTGAAACCAAAAAATGCTTTGAGTCCATATTTCGATACAAATAGTGGTGGGGAAGGTTACATCCAAGTCTCCAATGTTTCAGGAGGTGTCTATTTCTTTCTTATTAACTGAAATACTTTAAAAACTAAAGTGGTTCAACTTAATAATTTTATTAGACTGTAATAGTTATTTCATTAACATTTTTCTCCAAGGATTTTTCTGTCTGATGGGGAGTACTTTGCAGTTCCAGACAGTATGATGGATGCTACTTTTCTATGACAAGAATTTTAACAGCCCTCCTTCAGCACTCAGTGCACACCCAATTACGCGTCTGAGCTAGTAACCTTGAATTTATGTTGCCATGGCGACAAACTGGTCATGCATTATGGATTATCATTGAAATTCTACACCCTACCTAGCATAATGAGAGCTGGGGACTTAATCAAGTCAGCCGTTCTGTGTGACACAAAGTGAAGAACTAGCTCTTATTGTTCAGTGCCCAGAAAGGAAGCGGCCTGACGGGGAGGCAGCTGCGGGGCCAGGCCTGATAGATGGCCCTTATATACATTTGTGAACGTATAGACAGATGGTGCTCAGTGCCTGCAATTTCCAGCTTAGGCGGCAGCTGTTCGGGTAACCTCTGCCGTCTCACCTTGTTGTCATGGAACATTGAGCAGAGACTGGGAATGTGCACGGGTGCATTGACAAGCTGACTGGATTTACACTGATGGCACCCTTCTTTTATCATAGGGCGGCTGGGCTGGGAAGAATGCCCGGCGGGGGCGGGGGCGAGGGCGCACGAGGGTGGGAGGCGGGTGGCCAGGAGCACGCGCTTTGGAACGCCAGAGCCTGGGACCTGGGTAGCGCCCGCTTCCATTTTAGAAGAAGCCAGAGGGCAGGAGCAGGGCTGCCCGTGGCCGGGAGTCCAGGTAGCTGCTCTTCGAAGCCCCGAGTCCCAGGCAGAGCCCTCAGTGGGGGTCATTTCAGCTCCCTCTCCCTCGGGTGGTGGCTGCTTGTTATGAAGACAAAACGGCAGCTTCTTCAAGTCCCAGGGGCAGGCTGGGTCGCAGGGCAGCTCCAGCCAGAGCGGAGGACGCCCTCCACGTGGGGCCTCCCTTCCGGGGGAGGTGAGGCTCCGGATGGGGAGCGGTTTTCACATAAATAGACTCGTTAATGATCTTTCTCTCCGTTAGAAATGATTGAATTAATGCATTTCTAAGCAGAAAGGCAGCTGCTTTGGAGCAGAATATCAAGCCCCGTACATCTCAGGGTCCACGCGGTTTGTCAGAGAGCGATGCTCGCCTTGCACCTGCCCTCCCAGCCCACCGGGCCGTGGTCACCGACAAGGTCACAGCCATGCAGCGCCCTGCACACCCAGACCTGGCGGCAGGGTGCCCTGCAGCCTTCTGGTCGCGGCTTGCTTTCAGGTGAAATTCTGTTGGATTTTATTATTTCTTTTCACTCCCCTCCCCCCGGCTTTCCGGCCTCACATTTTAAAGTCACTTCAGCCACCTGATTTGAAGGCTCCTTCGTGTGCGCATGCTGCAAGGTCTCCCTTAAATATTTCATGAGACTCTGGGAGCCTCTCCCCTCCCCTGGCCCCCTCCCTAAGCCCGCACGTCGCACCCCTGAAACCCGCTTTCACCCTGTGACTGAAGCACTCGGGAAGACCACCGGCCTCCTCAGGTTCCTGGGTGACAGTGATGCAACCTTCCAGCAAGGTCTGGGGGACAGGGAGGCCGCCCGGCAGTGCCGGCCACGTCGGGGCCAGGGAGGATCTGGATGGTCCTGGAGTCGGATCCATACCGCACGTGGAAAAGCTGCCCGGGATCCACCACTGACATTCAGGGAACTGTGCACAGGGAATCTTAAAAACGGTGCACACTTTTCTGTTATTTTAAAGTTGATTTTATAGGCTATCTATACATAGGTATAAAGACTTGATCTATGTTTTATTTAAGGAGTAAAAATGTCATTAAAATGATATTAAATTAAAGCATAATACCATAAAATTATACAATGAATGAAAAATATAGATAGGAAATCTGCAACTGCCTAAATGTATTTCTAAGTGTTCTATGAATGTCTTGTGTTTGGATGAGGATGCTATTTATTTTAAATGGATTAAAACAGCATTTGTTGAAATTTTCTATCTTTGCACCCAGGCCTAAGCAACAGATTTCATATATTATTATAAAAGATTTTACTCAATATCCCATTTTTTTTCCTGAGAAATAGGACTTCATGAGTGGTTTTATTTTTTCTACAATGGCACAAATGACCATGAGCATTCATCCAAATAGTACTCTGATCTTTAAATAGGTATTTTAAAATTTTGACACAGAGAAGCAAAATACACTATATTTTTTTCATAAAACATTCAATATATTTTAAGTGTCCATAATTAAAAGCAATTATTTTATTTAAAAGTAGTCATGGAATTATAATCTAAGCTAAAAAAGGTTTTCTAACCAAGAATGCAATTCATTCTTTATGAATAATTATAATTTAAGAGTTTTGTTTTGCAAAATTTCAAATACATATTATATATATGCTTAATTTGTGTAGAGAGAAATAGTCTATCCTATGTAAAGAGTACGGTTAAATAACAGGATAATCTCCAAGAGAATCAGGATTCATTGACTAGATCGATCTCAGGTTTACTCAGTACTCAAAATCAAAGTTTTTCTCAACTGCAAAGGGGGACTCAGGGCAATTTGACTTTCAGGATCAAGGATGGTCTTCATCAGCCTTGTATTTCCTTACTTAACAATATCCTTCAATCAGTTCTTTCAAATTATCTAGTACCTAACTTCATTTTATTCAGTTTATTTAAAAATATTTTCTAAACATTTAAGTTAAATTAATTTTTGACTGGTGCATACAAATAATTTCTAAAACTTTAAATTTATTTTCAATTGGTGCATAAAAATATTTAAAAAGTACATATTTATGGGATCCCATGTGATATTTGGAGAAGTATCTATTCTCTAGCACTTAAATCAGGGTAGATATGTCCATTTCCTCAAATATTCATCACTTGTTGATGGTAAGAAGTTTGAGAATCCTTTCTTCTAGCTGTTTGAGACATACAACACATTGTCATTGTCTGTTGTCACCAACTCTTCCCCTCCCTATCCATCCCTACCCTTTCTGTCTCTGGTAACCTCCTTTCTCTTCATTTCTAAGAACTCATTTTTGTCTATCTAACAAATAACTGAGACCAAGCAGTACTTCTCCCTCTGCTTTATTTATGTCATTTAGTATAATAACATCCAGCTCCATCCAATTTGTCACAAGGACAGGATTGCTTTCCTTTTTGTGGCCGAATAGTATTCCATTGTGTGTATGTACCACATTTCCTTCATCCATGCGTGAGCCTAGGGACATTTCTCATCTGTCCCAACACTACTGCAATAACGCTGGGGTGTGAATGTCTCTTGACCAAGCTGATCTTGTTTCCTTTGACTGCATTCACAGCAATGGAACTTCTGAATCAGATGGTAGTTGTATTTTTAGTTTTTTAAGAACCTCCATGCTGTTTTCCATGACTACCTAGCTTCATTCCCCCACCAGCACGCAAGGGTTCCCTTCCCTCTTCCTCCTCCTGGCACTTCTCTTTCTAGTTTGATAATAGCCATCGCTGCTGAGGTCAGGTGACATCTCATTGTGGTTAAAACAATATGGCTATGAAAGAGTCACTGGGTGGGCTATGATTTGAAAGTGTTTGTGATAAACATTTCTGAGGTCTCACAAAAAATAAAAATAGAACTATTATCTGACCTGCAGAGAAAAAGTTGTATACTTATCAAATTTCTATTTTATTTTGCAATTTCGCCATCTCATGCATTCTGGGTCCCTGTGATCACTGCTCCTATTTAACAGGTTAATGGGATTCAAGGAGGTGTAATGATGCATTTATCTAGATTTATTAAACATGAAAGTAAATATATTCCTTGGGTTCCACATGACATCAACAAATTTCTTAAATTCCTTCCTTTAATTTCACTTAAAACTTGGAATTCTTGTTGGGAAATTCAAGAAGTGGTCTCCCAGCCTGTGCTGGGTGTGTTTCCCTGTTGTGGTAGAACTCCCAGCCTTGCCTGTGCTCCGGGCTCCACAGGTGGAGCCTTCTGGGAGAGGCTCACAGCGTCCTGCCCCAATGGCCAATGGTCCCAGGCCCAGCAGCGGAAAATCCCGCCCAGTGCCACTGATTCTGTGGAGTGACTGTGGACCTCAACTAGACTCCGCTCACCTTCTTGGGATTCAGGAGGCAAGAGCTACCTTCCTTGCACTAAAACTTGGCAACTACATATTCTCTGACATTTCTCTTTTCTTCAATGCTAGGGCACTTTTCCAGTAAATCGTAGAATCAGTCTGTAGCAGAGACTGTGCTGAAATGCTGGTCAGAGAGGCTCCTGCTTGTCCCCCACCAGACCAGAGTTCACTGTGCTCCCTCCCATCATCCCCTGGAGCTCCTGGCATGGTATAAACAATCCCCAAACCTCATGAACACCCTGTGAAAAAACACTGGCTTAGCAGAAAGAGGGGATTTGGAGAGGGCACACAAAACTGAGCTCCACTCCCCCGAATCCTGTGAGATCCTAGACAGTTCTCTTTGCATCTCAGTCTCCCTGGTCTGTAACATGGGGAACTTGAACCTCCTCCGTGAAAAATTTCATGAGAAGAAGAAACCCCAGCACATAGAAATGACAGAAGGAATCAGCTTCCTTATATCAGAGAAAACATTCAGCTGTTTTCTGAATGTTTTGGGATTGGCTAATTTCACTTAGCATTAAATTCTCCAATTCCATCTGTTTATCTGCATATGCCATGATTTTATTCTCTTTTATTGCTGAGGAATATTCCATTGTGTACCTATACCACATTTTCTTTATCCATTCATCTACTCAAGGGTATCTAGGTTGGTTTCACAGTTTAGCTATTGTGAATTATGATGCTATAAACATTGATATGGCTGTGTCCCTGTAGTACATTGTTTTTAAGTCCTTTGGGTATAGTCGGAGGAGTGGGATAGCTAGATCAAATGGTTGTTTCATTCCCAGCTTTCCAAGGAATCTTCATACTGCTTTCCATATTGGCTGCACCAATTTGCAGTCTCACCAGCAATGTATGAATGTGCCTTTCCCCCCACATCCTGGCCAACACTCTGATTCATAGTGGGGTTGGTAGGGGGAGATGGGAGGATTAGATGGACTCTAGATAGGGTAAAGGAGTAGGAGGGGAAGGGAGGGGGCAGGGGGTAAATAAGGTGTTGGAATGAGATGGACATCTTTACCCTAAGTATGAAAACATGAATGGTGTGAACATACTTTACATGCAACTAGAGATATGGAAAATTGTGCTCTATATGTGTAATATGAATTGTAATGCATTCTGCTGTCATATATAATAAATTAGAATAAAAAATAAAAAAAGAAATGACAGAAGGATGAACTATCCACATACATTCCTGAGCCTTGAAAATCTACTTGGGGTACTGAATAGTTGGAGACAGTATCTAGGAAGTTTTGGAAACACAACATGAATAAGAGCAATGTGTGAAACGTAAGCATCGGTGTGTCTTGGACTCATTGTACCTCACATCCTAACCGGAATGTCAGAATGCCGTGTGTGTCCAAGTGAGAATGAACCAGAGCCTGCTTTCATTCATTTCTTCATGAATCTTATTTGATTAGTGCCAATACGCTTAGTTGACAATTATTGTCAAATAAAAAGTATATGACTTTAGAGTAAGTTGAAATAACAAATTGATTTCCTAGCGTATGTGCATTTTCTTGTGTCCTGAAATACTTTTTAGATTCTGGCATTCAATGAGATTTTCAGACTGGATCTCGTAGTCTCTGATTCTAACTCTGGCTGCTTCAGTTTTCAAAGCTATTAGGAAATACTAGGCTCCTAGATGCATTTTTATTTTATCCTATGATTTTTAATTCTAATAAGCAAGATCCTATAATTCTGACAGAATGCTGTTTTAATTTTTAAGAAACAGATACATAAAAATGACAGCCAGATGTTCTCAACTATCAGGGCACCATAAGAGATAATACTGAGGTTTTAAACTTTTTACACTTGACATTACAATGTTAGCATCCCAGGGAGGGTGAGTCAAGAGGAGACTGACTGTTCCAGGCAGGAGGGACAGGCACAGAGAGCAAAGGCCAAATGGCAGCCCTGTCTAGCAAACGAGTGTTCACGATCAGATCAATGCAGTGTTAAATGTGGAAAAAAAAGTGCTCTCTTTCACGGCATGCACTGCTTACATTTCTAGAGCATGTGCTTCATGTCAAGAGCACATTATCTCCTTCAAATCTCACTGCAGATAAATTATATCCATCCACTTTAGTTTGTAGATGAAGTGGTTGAGGCTCAGAAAAAAATGGTTTATTCAAGTTCAAAACCAGTTTTTGGTCCAAATGATGAATGCTTATTTGATTTTCATTTGTGATCTCAGCATTTTCTTGTGGAAGCACTGGTCAGCACTTTGAAGGAAGGGTTCCTGCTCACGGGAGACAGATACGGTAAGTCACATGCCACCAGACCTTGAGAAGAAGCCAGGTTACCACATGGCCACCTCAGCTGTCCAGCCAGGCCTTGGCAACAGCAGAGTGGCCGCACAGCTCAGTGTCCACCTACTCACTGTCCTTCATACCCCAGAGGTGAGGAGCTGCCATTATTCACAAAGTAAGGGGAGGCGTGTGTGGTGTTTCTCACTCATGGCCAGGCCCTTCCAAGAATTTAGAACAAAATTCAGTGATGTTTCTCCAGGGAAAGGGAGGTCAGACCTGGCCACTTCCTGAGGTAGTCCCGGTCTGTTCCTGGGGACCTGTGTACCTGGAAAGAGCATTTCCTTCCGCTCCCAAGGGGTGCTGAGCAGGATAATCAGCATTATGGTCAACCCACTTGTAAATGTTATTACACTTTGTAATTAATTTTTATTGCTGTAATAAATTAGGATACAAGGTAAAGCAAATTTAAGCAACCATATCCATAGGAACTGTATAAGACCTTTGCTAAGTGAATTTCTATTATTAATTATCGGAGCCTAACTCATTTCCCCTTCTCCTCTTCAGGGCTACATACAAGCAGCCTCTGGCTCCAGAACCTTGCTCAGCGGAGTAGCCCCGTCAGGGAGGGCGAGTCTTCTGGGGGACTCGGGGGCGATGCCCTGCTGCAGGGCTGCCTTCCACGTGGCTGTGCGACAGTCTGACTTCTCACCAGGTCCAGCTGCCTCCACCTCGGCCTGACTCGCCCTTGATTGCAGCCTCTGAAGCTCAGCACGGGGGTGTTCAGAACTTGCTCCCTTCAAAGTCCTGCCACAGAAATGCTCCCGCTGCAGTGCGCAGAAGTGAGCGGGGCAGGCCCCGGGGACCTCTGGCCACAGCTGTGCGGTTCCAAGGCGGCGGAGTGATTCTGCGCAGGGTGAAGCGACTTCTAGAGTGAAGCAATGCCAGCTGTCACTAAGGGGCCCGTCTTCGGCAGATGCCAGCCTCATGCGTAGTCCTCAGGCCGTGCCAGCCGAGGTGGTCTGAATGGTTGAGAGAGACAGACGGACAGGCAGAGACAGACAGAGGGAGGGAGAGCAAGGCAGAAGAGCCAGTCCCTTTCTCAGGCCCAGTGTGTGAGACCAACGGAATGAAATTTCAATTCCATCATAATTTAACCGAGCGGCAGACTTCCTCTCCAGAGTGTGCCACAGTGAACTTTCCCTTGTCTGACTTTTGGTGTCCCCGAAGCCACGTGCGGCGGTATCAAGCTGAGACCTCCTGGAGGACCTCCAGCAGCAGCTCAGGACCCGGGGGAGTGGGCGGGGCCTGGGGTCACGTGAGCTGGAGGGCCGCACTGATTGGCAGCACACTGGAGGAGCCCGCGATGAAGACGCCGGAACCACCCGAAGGTCTGGCAGGATGCGTGACCTGTGTGGCGCGGGTCAGATCCCAGCCAGGACCTCAGAGAGGCTGACCCACTAGCCATTAAGAAGAGGCCCAGAGGGCGGGGAGGGCAGGGAAGGAGGAGCAGCGGAGAACCCGACCTGAAACCTGTGTGCCCAAGCTTACCTGCGCCTCGCTGCCCGCACATGGGACAGGGGACACCAGCGACCTCCGGGAGAGGAGGCGGCCCCGCTGAGGAGCAAAGCCCAGACTTGACTTCAGGCTTGAATATTGACATTTCAATCAGGACGGGACTTTTTACCTCCCAAGATAGGAGTCAGGAAATGACAGAGAGAATCTGAGTTTTCTTTCCCAGAGGACTTTTTGCGGCCAGTTTTTGTGTTGCGCTGCGGGGAGCTGGGGAGGAAGGCCTTCACCTGTCCCCTCCAGTGTGACCAGGGACCTCTGCAAGGCTCAGGGCTGCTTTTGTGTCCCCCGCCCGGGCCTTCCCCTCGCGCCGTCGTGCCTGTGGCCGGGCCCTCCACTGGCGATGTCTAGGACGTGTTCATCAGTTACTCGCTCCCCTGTGGCCACACTTGACCTCTTGGAGGTGCCCAGAACGTTTGTTTCCTTCTTTTTTTTTTTGTGAGGGCCTCCATTTCACATGGCTCCGAGTACTGTTCTAGGTGCTTTTTTACTTCACCAGAAAGGTGGGTCGTCCTTCTCACCAGGGGAAAAGGACAACTGGGTTCCATGGACTGGCCTTTGCCCCCGGCACCTCCCCTAAGGTCACGGTTGAAGTGAACTTTTGAGAGGTTGCAAGCCCATGGGGCTGTTGGGTTCAGGGGGCACCCAGCTGTGGAGGCCTCGGGAGACAGTGGCACAGGAGAAATGAGGAGGACGGAGTGGTCTGGGAGAGTTGGGTCCTGAGTCCCCCTGAGGACATGGGGAATCTCCCTCCCTGAAGGATCCCTGCAGCCCTGGGCACTGGTAGCTCTGTGGAACCAGAGGCAAATGCAGACTGGCCAGAGGTCTGGAGGTGCAACTAGATGTGCCACCTGGACCACCCACTTCCCTGTAGCCAAGGTGGAGCCCCTTTCCAGATGACTAATACACCCCTCTCTCGGTCAGTGACGGCAGGTGTCTGATGGCAGGGATGCCTGCCCTGGGGGCCAGTGCTCCAGCTTCCCTGCCCCCAGGTGTGCTGTGCACCAGAGTCTTCTGAGAGGAAAATGAACAGCTCAAAGGAAAGCATCAAGACATTGCTATTGGGACTTTGCCAGATCATCTAACCTCAAGATTAAAGAATTACCTGAGGCTTGTACGTTTTGATTTCTCAGTTTTAACATCTTCATCTTTAATCCATCTGGGATTTGCTTAGGTAAACAGGCATGTTTTTCTATGTTACCATGCTGCAGAGCTACTGCTTGGTAAATGTGGCCAAGTGGTGGGTAAACGAAAGGCAGGGTTTGAGGCAGAGAGGGAACTGTGTGTACTGAGGGAGTTAATTCTGATTCCTAGCTGCCAGGGGGTCGCCAGAGCCACCAAGGCAGAAAGCGGCCAAGCTGACCTAATGGTTTCTCCTCGGAAGACTCTTGCAGCCAGGTCATGGCCAGCAGGTGGCCCTGGGCAGGTCCAGGGACCCCCAAGGGGACAGCTGGGGTCCCTGTGAAACTGAGGTCCATCATCTCTGTATTTTGTGCAGATTCTCCCTGTAAAAGGCAGAGAATGAAAACTCTCCACTAGAGGCCCTGGATTTCAAGTACTTTGAGGATTAAGGCCGGCAATTCTGGTCAGTGATGTTCAGTATGGCTCTCTGCAGCCAGTGACTGGAAACTCTGCACTGTTCCCTGGGCCACTACCTCTGTGCAACCCGAAGGGCACAGTGTGTCCTGTTTCCTGACTCAAACGCAGGCCTGCTCTGGGGTGGTTGATCTGAAGTGGGGACTTGGCTGGGCTCAGGGTGGATCATTGTCACTGGGTGTGTCTGTGAGGGGGCTCTAGGGGTGACATTTGTATTGTAGACTGAGTCAAGAAGAAGCACTCAGCATGTGGGTGGGCATCTTCCACCCACTGGGGGCCCGAGTAAGCAGAAAGCAGAGGAAAGGTGACCTTCTCTCCGTGCTTGACCTCCACCTCCACCTCTGGGCTCCCTGCTGTCAGCACCTGGTTAGCAGCCTTAGGATTCAAGCCGGCTCCTACCCTGCACTCTCCTTCTTCAGGGCCGCGGCTGGGGGCCTCCTCACCCTCCGCCCCATGAGCCACTCTGACAGTTAACTCAGGCCATGTGCACATATTCCTGCTCTGTTTCTCGGGAGAACCCTGACTGATACCTGCTCCCATGGAAGGGAGAATAAAATGGCTCGGGGCACACACTCCAACCTCTTAAAGACCCTCTTGGTGGAATGTGGTGACTATTACTACATCCTGGAGACCTTAAGAAACTTCCAGTACCAGGCCACTCCCAGGGCGAGGAGCTCAGAGTCCTTGAAGTTGAGACATGTCTATCCAAAATTGTTTGAGGTTCCCATATGATTCTAATGGGCAGAAAAATTTCAGAAGCACTGAACAATGATAACCAGAAAGAAAAGTGAATCACAAGATTGTGACTGTATTGGAGGGTTGCACTAGAGAAGTCAGTGTCTGCAGCCTGTGGGGGCTGCTAACACGCAGGTTAGGCTGGCCCCACCCCAGGTCCCTGGCCCTGCAGGTCTAGGTGGTGCCGAAACACTGCACCTCTAGCTAGCCTCCAGGTGATGCTGCTAGTTTAGAGACCACATTGGGAGCTCTCCCCCATTATATAATATGATAAGAAGACTAGGCATTACCAAAAAATCTCCATACCACTGCTTGCCGTGACTAGCTTGAAGATGAACTTGGAATTTTAATAATTGAGGCCCACAGAAAAGTTAGGTCTTTGAGAAAAGCTTAGCAAACTCAAGCAATTCTTCCCCTGGGCCTTGGTGGAAAAAATGTCAAGCAATGTGGTTCCCCAGGGCTTCCGAGGGGGTTTGCCAATCTGAAGGGCACACTGCCGTACTCTCATCTAGAAATCAGAAGCCCCAGGTGGAAGATGGAAGGGAATCATCCTAGTGCTCTTAGGAAGAAGATCCACGGGTGTACTTGTAGGGAGATGGGGTAGTTTCCCTCTGCCTCTCCTACAAGGAGAAGTGGACACTGTATAGAAAACACACATGAGACTCAGAGTTGAAGAGAAACAGGCCCACTCAGGAGCAGCATGGCAGTGAGCATCCTGGATCTTCTTCCTGCCAAAATTGGTGAGAAGTCCACAAACTGCAAATACCCAAGGATGAAGATCAAAAATGGCCCAACAAGAGTTGCAGGGTCATTCTTCCCAAAGTGGATGTTAACGAGTGGTTCTGAGCTTTCTCCTGGGGTCAGGGTTTCTCAGTATCCCCCAGGGATTCTGTGAATCAGTCAGCCAACTAGATCCCTGGAACAGCATCAGCAAACTAGATCCAGGATCAGATCTGTCCAGGGCCCCTGTTTGTACATTAAGTTAATCTTTACTGGAGGTCAGCCATGTCTGTTGACATGCAGCGTGTCCTGGCTGCTTTGTTTAGAGCCTGGGGTTGAGTAAACGCTGTGGAGACTGGGAAAAGACTGGGGGCTCTCACCTGGAGAATGTGGCGGTTCCCAACATCAACATGGTCTGCTCATGACATCCCTTGGAAAACTCAGGTAATTTCCATTTTGTTCAATTAAAAAAAGACAGATATAAACTGTTTCTGTCTGTCTGTCTATTTATATATCTTAGGAAGACCATCCCCTGGAGTGCTTTGCTCAGCTCTCAGCACTGACCTATGGGGAGCACCCTCAAGTTAGCCGGCACAGAGGACCCTGAGTGGAACACGCAGGATTCAGACACCACAGCCTATGGGACCTGGACCAGCGGGAGCCCCTGCAGAGGAAGACAGCAAGGGAGGACCTGGACTCTGCCTTCAAGGGTGCGCAGGGCCTGACCTAGCAGAGGAGGGCTTAAGCTCATTTGATGTAGCCTCACGGAGAGGATAGATGCCCAACGCATGGGAGATACAGGAAATTAGATTTGACACAGCATTAGATAGAATTCCTAACAATAAGATTCTCCATGAGATTAGTCGCTTCCTCTCATTGAATATGCATGTGGGCTGCTCCCTTCCAGCACTGGGGACAGGCCACACCGCTTCCTCTCCCAGGAAGGGACCCTACCAGCCAGGGCACGATTGATAATCGATCACAAATGGATCCTGACTGGTTTTGTTAAGCATCTGGTTGCCGACCAGACCAACATCCCGCCTGCTGTTGCACCTCGCTGCCCTTGCACCTCCATTCTCTCCAACAGGGAGTCCTGGTGGGGGTCCGAGGGAAGAGGAGAGCCAAGGCCTGATGTTACTTCCTGGCCATCAGCATGGGCTGACCATGTCCCTGAGAGCACCAGACTTCCCAGGCGGAGTCCCTGGGGCTGCTCTCAGGTGTCCAGTGGCCTCTCCCACCGACCTCCCAGGCCTGTGACAGTGCATAATCCTCCTATGTTTCCAGCATTCCTCCCTCACCAAAATAATTAACTTCAGATAATTTCTTTTAAAACACTCCTCAAAACATCCTAATTGACAAGTGCTCCGTGAGCTCCCTTGGCTGGCTGACCTGTAGGCGGACGCGTCCCACCTCCAGACAAGTTGACACCTCCCAGAATCCAGCTGGCAGCGGCTCTGCTGCCTTCAGCGCGGTACCCCTGGGAGCTGCATCTCAGGCAGGAGAGGGAAGTGAAGTAGGAAGAAGTGCACGTGCCATCTTCCTTGAGCTGGACCTGGAATGGCCGGCGGGTTCGTGGTCCATGTCTAGAGCTCAGCCACATGGCCGAGCAGGACTGAGAAGGTGGCTGCCAATGGATCCCAGCTGAGCGCTCAGGAGGCTGGCTGCAGGCTGTGGGGCTGGCTTCCCTGGTAAGGACTGTGACTCTGGAGCAATCGGTCACTTCTGGCTGGCTCCCTTCTGTCGGTCAGCTCAGGTAGGGACCAAGTCGGGTCAAAAGGGAGCCTCTGCCATGTCCCTGCGAGTGGGGGGGATAGCGGGTCTCCAGCATCTTGCAGGTGGAGACCCTGTTGGCGGCCAGGCCTTTCTGCGTCCATGAGGGCGCGACTTCTGGGTGTGTTTTGGCGCCTCCTTGGGTTTCACTCAGGCCCCTGTCAGTGGCACTGATTCATCCCGGGTTTGAAGGAACGTGGGTCTGTGCACAGAGACTGAA